TATTTGGAAGGTAAATCGATTCACGAGTGTCTCACTGGGCGAGAAGCCCTGGCCACAGACGGATGCGGGGTGGGCCTCCAGCTCTGGCCGTCCAGGGCACCTGACCCCGTCCAGGGCACCGTCTCGCCCCCCACGTTCCTCCGGAAGAGCCCCGTGCTCCCTGGGCTTCAGGCCCCTCCCCCGAAGGGTAAGGAGGCAGCTCAGGTCCCCTGCAGGGCTCCTGCTTCCTCTGCTGCTCCATCCGGGCCAGGGCGTCTGTGTCGTCACCAGGCCTCCTCTCTGGCTTAGATGGCCCTGAAGGACACGCACAAATGGTCCCAGGTGGGAGGAAGCCCCTCAAGCCGTGGGCTTTTCCTTCACCTGACCCTGCTCTCCTATGAAGGCCGAAAACGTCAACCTGGCCGGCAAAGATCCCTTCCCCCTTTGTCCTGCACCGTGCTGGGGAAAGGGGCCTGGGTCCCTTTGTCCCAAACTTCTTCCCTGGATCTGTCCCTCCACTGGACCCAAGTTCCTTGTCTGGCGTAGGATCTTAGCAGTTCCCTGCTGCCCCTCTGCCACAGCAATCTGAGCAAGGCCGACACCCTCCCTCAGAGGGTTCACCCTTCCCCGGCTCTTTGTCCCAGGCGCAGGTGACTTGTCTGTCCCTCCAGAGGCCCCTCCCCTCTTAGTGTTGCTTTTCTTCAGGGAACCAGTAGCTCTCAGCCATGGTTGAATCACTCACGGAGGCCCTGGGACTTCTCAGGGGACCTTGAGGGAGATGCGGGCTGGGGGACGGGAGTTTCACAGTTGAGAGTGGAAAGAACACCCGAAGCCACAGGGCCCACATGAAGAGTTGGGCTTTGCCATCCGGGAAGTTGAGCAAAATCCATTTCCCTTGTCCGCAGGGACGAGGAGGAGGACTTTCCTCCAAGCAAAGGTAAGAAGGCAGAAGATCATCTGTCAGCTGAAGAAAAAATATTTTTGAGAGAGTTTCCCAGATGGAAACAAGATCTAGAAGTGAGCATTGTTGGGCTCCGTGCCCTTGCAGAGGATATCGACGAAAAACACAAAGCATTCACCAAGACCAGCCTGGCGGCCAACTCCGTGGCTGTGGTCTCTGGGGTTGCGTCCATCCTGGGGTTGGCCCTGGCTCCGGTGACAGCAGGAGGGAGCCTGCTGCTCTTCACTGCTGGTCAGGGTTTGGGGATCGCAGCTGGAGTCACCAGCACCGTGACCAGCCTGTTGGAACACTCTCACAAGAAAAAAGCCCAAGCTCAGGCCGGCAACCTAGTGGGCATCCCTGACACAGAGGGTGGTGAGGATGAGGCCAAGAAAGAACTCTATGCCTCAGCAACCAGCAAGATTATCTGTGGCCTCAGCAACATGAAGAAGAGCCTCCGTGCCATTGAGAATGCCAAAGCCCACCCCCACTTGGCCAAGGCCGCCAAGAGGCTGATGACCACGGGCAGCATCTCGGCCCGAAGGAGCAGGGAGGTGCAAAAGGCCTTTGGGGGCACAACACTGGCCATGACCAAAAGTGCTCGCATGCTGGGAGGTGCAGTGGCCGCCTTGGGCCTTGGCCTGGACTTGGCCGCTGTCTCGAGGGACTGGAAGCAGCTGCAGGAGGGAGCAACGGCAGAGCTTGCCGATGAGCTGAGGGCCCAGGCTCGGAAGCTGGAAAATCAGCTGGCGGAACTCACGGAGCAATACGAGCTCCTGCAGCAGTGGGTGAGGTCAAGAGTTCCCTCTCTGGGAAGGGCCAGGGTCGGGGCTGGGGGCTAACTGGGGCCTGTGGGTGTGCACACGAATGTGTGCGTGTGTGCATGTGCGCGTGTATGTGTGCGTGCGTGTGAGAGAGAGAGGAGGTTGCATGGATGTTCTTGAGGACATGGGCATATGGTAGCCCTGGATGCCCAAATAGCATCCAGGACACCTTTAAGATGAGGGTGCCCGCCCGGACAGAGCTGGCTGTGCCTTCTCTTTCTCCCTTGACACTCCTTAAGGCCCACATGCTGGGAACAGAGGCTTCCCAGTGTTAGATGGGAGGACCCTGAGCCACAGGGAGCGTTGGGACTGAATTGTGTTCTCTCCCAAATTCCCATGTTGGAGCCCTGAGCCCCGGCACGGCTGTAATAGAGATGACGCTTTGGGGAGGTAAGTAGGGTTGAATGAGGTCGAAAGGGTGGGGCCGGATCCCATGGAACTGGTCTCCTTATCTGAGGAGCAGGAAACACAAGAGGGCCCTCCCTGCCGCCTGAACCGGGGAAGGCCGCGTGAGGCACGGGGAGAAGGCGGCCCTTTGCAGGCCAGGAAGAAGCAAGCCCTTGCCAGGGCCCCTTCCGAACGGGCCAGCACCTTCATCGGGGACTTGCAGCCCCTAGAAGCGTGAGCAAAGGAGAGAATGATTGCTTAAGTCCCCAATCTGCGGTATTTTGTTATGGCAGCTGAGATGACTCCGACAGGGAGGTACCGTCACTTGCCAGATGTCTCAGTCTGTTCAGGCTGCTGTAAGAAAACACCTCAGACTGGGGAATTTGCACACAATAGAATTGTGTTGCTCACAGTGCTGGAGGCTGGAAGTGCAAGATCAAGGCCGGGCGGTGGCAGCAGATCCAGTCCTCTGGGAGCTGTCTTTCTGCTTCAGGGCGGCTCCTTCTTGCCCCACCCTCGAGGGGCAAAAGGGCAACAAGTGCTCCCTTGGGGCTCTTTATAAGGGCACTGGTCCCATTCACAAGGTCATGTCCTTGTGACTTAACCACCTCCTCAAAGTCCCCACCACTTAATTCAGTTGTGGTGGCAGAAGGAACGTCCTTTCCATCTCTCGAAGTTTCAATAATTTGAATCTATAAAACACAGTGACAGCAGACAGATGAACAGGAGAAAAGGCATATAAAGGTCTTCACAAACCATGACAGGTTCTTCTACAGATACGGTCTCTCCCGTAACAGCCCTTAGCAGAGCAGTTGGAGGAACAGGTGAGCCGTCTGTCTGGGCGTGGCGACTCAGGTGTAGAGACATTTAGTCTCCCCTCCTGGGGTACAAGTTAATCTTCTCTGGTTAATGTAGATTCCATGTATCTGTGTCTCTTCCTCCCCTACCCTGGCGGAAATCGGTCCTCGCTGGCTCAGATACGCTCTGCACAGGAAAGGATGTCACTGGAAGCTGGCCAGCCACATTCTGGTGGGAAGGAGAGAGGAGGAGACCCTGTGCACCCCAACACCTGCAACCTGCATGAGCTGTCCATGTGAAAAATATTTTTTTTCTTTTCTGTGCCTTAACTGCTATTTTTAAAATAGTGCTTGGATGTTAAATACAATATGTTTTTTAAGTTAAGGAAAGTAAAAAAATAGGAGCAAACAATGCACCAACCAAGGCTAACGAGGTTGTCATTTTGGCATAGAGTTTGTTTCCTGTGCTCTCCTTGCTTTTGGGTTGAAGTGCTGGCTTTAGGCCATTGTGTCGTTGTCCTTAGACTGCCTGTGCATGGAAGGACCCTCCCTCGGGGCTGCGCACACAGTACATGAGTTTGCTTTGTATGTTACAAAATATTCTCCTGACTGTACGTATAATCTTTTAATCAGACAAAGACTGGTCATCGCTCTTTCTGTTTTAAGTGTTCAACACCACCTGGCACCCCCCAATCCTTCAGCTTAAATTAGCCAAATGCTAATACACATTAACAATGTGCTAATACACGTCAGCAATGTGTATTGCTTGTGTTCAAAGTAACTGAATAAAATCACAACTCCAAACGGACGGTCCCTGAAGAGTCTGACCACGGGACTAAGCAAATCATTCTCATATTGCTCACGCTTCTAGGGGCTGCAAGTCCCCGATGAAGGTGCTGGCCCGTTCGGAAGGGGCCCTGGCAAGGGCTTGCTTCTTCTGGCCTGCAAAGGCCGCCTTCTCCCCGTGCCTAACGCGGCCTCCCGGTTCAGGCGGCAGGGGAGGCCCTTTGTGTTCTGCTCCTCAGATAAGGGATCAATCCATGGGATCCAGGCACGGCTTTCAACCTCATTCAACCTACTTACCCCCAAAGCGTCATCTCTATTACAGCCGTGCCGGGCTCAGGCTCCAACATGGGAATTTGGGAGAGAACACAATTCAGTCCCACGCTCCCTGTGGCTCAGGTCCTCCCCATTAACACTGGAAGCCTCTGTTCCAGCATGTGGCTTAAGGAGTGTCAAGGGAGAAAGAGGGCACAGCCAGCTCTGTCCGGGCGGGCACCCCATCTTAAAGGTGCTGGATGCTATTTGGGCATCCAGGCTACCATATGCCCATGTCCTCAAGAACATCCATGCAACCTCTCTCTCTCTCTCAACACACGCACACCA